GGTCTTGGTCCCTCAACCAGGTGATTGACACCTATTTAGAATACCAATCACTGCTATTTATCCCTAGGGGAAGAACATGGGTGTAGTAGTTTCTCTTTTTATAATGCTGGCCTTCAGTGAATGTATCTCCACGGTCCTCCATGTTGGCTCCTGGAGGGTTGGCATTGTCTACCTGCCTACAAGATATTTAATTAACTTATCTATCTACAATACTGTCTCACATGGCAGAAGAGACTAAAAAACAACCAAGCCATCCTCCCCATTGATTCATGGTAGGGGAGAGGAATTTGTGTCTCTAGCATTTCCAAGACCCAGAAAACATCTCTGGGTGTCAGGTGGACCACCTCCCAGTTCTCAGACTTCCAAGCTACCAAGAAAGTTGCTACCAGTGGCAGAGTGAGGCTGGGGGTGCATTGCAGTAACTCCCCAGGGTTCCTCCCCACTGTCTGGTGCTGCTTCCAGAGATGGCACAGTGGGGACACTCACCTGACCATCCTGCTAGACTACACCAAATATCAGGGCTGGCGGGCTGAAGGGAGATCTAGTCAGGCAAGGGTCCCAAAGAAATGAACATGCATGAGCAGACAGTACAAAAAAAACAGGAACAAAACTTTATTTTCCAGCACAGCACTTATTGTAGTTTTTATCAGCTTACCGAGATGCAGTAAGACAAAACATTCTCAGCGGCCTTGCAGACTGTGTAGTGTGTGCGTAGTTGTCTATGCTGATTCAGTATTATATAATGAAGCCCCATTGTGTGCCTGCACTAAATGATGGGGTTGTGTCCTCAGGTGCCCTCAGATGTCCTCAGACACCCTGGTTTTGACACATCTCACAGCAGCCCCTACACTGAGGCAATGAGGAGTGTGGCTTGGTCCACTCAGGCCCTGGTAGCCAGGTCACACCCAGGGGAGCAAGAGGAGCCTCATGGATGCAAGTGGGCTTTGTGCCAAGGATGCCTGCCCCATCTGATGGCGAGGCACACAAATGCCGGGAGGGCTCTGGGTCCATCACTTACTGAATTCTAAGACTCGATTTCTATTCTCAGTACTGCAGGTGGGGGCAGGCCTTGTTCCAGGGCAGTTACCCCAGCCCCTTAAAACTGGACTCTGCACACTGCTGTGTAGCTTGAAGGCCCAGTACCTGGGAAGCCCCAGTTCAATCCCCAGTACTCAAGAAAACTGGAACATTCAATTGGATCTCTGATCCTGCTGGTTCTTGGTTATAATAGGACTGGACTTAGAACTTAGTTTTCTCATCTATATTTCCTAGACTTTCTGCGATGCTGGGAATGTTCTGTTCTGGAGCTGTCTAGTGGGATAGTTTCTAGCTGCCCCTAGCTGTTGAGTTAATTTTGGTTAAATAGCCCAGTGTGGCTAAAGGCTGTGATACTGGATAGAACTGGCTGAGATTGGCAGTAACTGTGTCATTTAGTCTTAACTAGACTTCTGGAAATTTTGTGATTCTCCTGAGCCTTGTTTCAAACCAATGTGGATTTTGAAATAAGAAATAATCTTTGGTAGTATGTTTTTAAAATGCAGATAAGTAGAAAGGAAAAAATAAGTACATGTAACTCATTCCACTGGCCACAAGTCATCATTTCCATGCTTTTTAGTGTTTTTTCTTTCCTATTATTGTAGATAGGTAAGTTAATTAGATATCTTGTAGGCAGTTAGACAGGGCCAACCCTTGAGGAGCTAACATGGAGGACAATCAAGAAGCCAACATGGAGGACAGTCCAGACACATTCACTGAAGGCCAGCATTGTAAAAGAAGAGAAACTACCACACCTGTGTGCTTCCCCTAGGGATGAATAGCAGTGATTAATATTCTAAATAGGTATCAATCACCTGGGTGAGGGACCAAGATCTTCCAGGAAAGATCCCTGACCCACCTCTTACCAAAAGCCCTTGCTTATTCCTTGTTCCTCTACACTTGCTACTTGCTATGTGACTTGCTTCCCCATTTGATCTCCATTTAATCATGATTATCTAAGCAACTATACTTGTAATCTTATTGGTTGATCTTATTGGTGTAATCATTATTAGTTTTGTCCCACCTCATGTCCACCTTGTGATTTCTCATTAGATCAATATTACCTATGTGACTGTGCTTGTAATCTTACTAGTTGGCTTTGGTTTTGTCCCACCTTGAACCCACCTCACCTCATGGCTTTGTCCCATAAAACACCTTTGAGAAATAGGGTGAGCAGGCAACCCACTTTCCAGTCCCCCTTCTGTCTCTCTCTTAGCCTGAAGCTCTCTTTCTCTCAATAACTTATTCCTACTCTTAACCTCCATTGTTCCTAGAATGCATTCTTCAATTTTAGAGAAAATGAACTCACGTTTCAGATATCTAGTAGGTGTGGGAATTACATCTATGCCCCTATATCACTATCACTATTAGGACTGTTCTTTATATAATTTTTTGTATCCATATTTTTCACCTAACTTTGAATTGTAAACATTTTTACATCGTTCAATTTTTTTATAACAACAACAAAAAAGAAATGACTCCACGAAAGTAGCACAGAGGGGACAAGAATATTAACAGAAGGCAGAAGCCTGGGTGTCCACGCAGTGACACTGGGTTGAGAGGCGTTGGCCTAGGTGGTGACTTTTGGCCTCCAAGGACACAGGCAGGAGCTGATGACTGACCCTTGCTTGTCTGTCATCTGGACTGTGGCAGTGTCACCAGATTATATAAAGACACCATCTGAGAAGTGGTGACAGATTCTGAGAGGTGAGATTCCAAAAGTAACTCAGAAACAACAAAGGAAAAGAGAGGAACTGCTGTGGCAGTAATCTGCAGTGACTGGATAAAAGAGAGGTTTTACAAAAGGCTTTTTAATCCTCTCAGATGTTTGAAATTATACTTGACTGTGTGGTTCATATTGTTCTTATTTTACAGACTTTTCCCTACTAATGATAAGCCAAATTATTTCTCATATTTTGAACTGAAGTCCCACTAAATTAAATACCTTTTGTAAATAGGCCATGTTTCTCCACTTAATTCAAAAGTTAAACTTTTGGTTTACATATTTTTTCTCTATGTATATTGCAGTACTGGAGATTGAACTCAGGCCCTTCACACTGAGCTACATCCCCAGTCCTTTTAAAGTAATAGTAATAAATCATCATCATCATCATCATCATCATGACAGTCTCGCTAAATTGCTAAATTGCCCAGGTTGAGTATGCTCTCATCCTCCACCTGCCTCAGCCTCCCAGAGTGCTGGGATTACAGGGATGCGTCCCCATGGCCCACTGACTTTACAGGAGGGAAGCTGTGTGGAGTGAGATGTCGGGGCTTTGGTGTGGAAGTTGTGTCCTGGGCAGTGCAGGCTGGTCACTGAGCCCTCCAGGTCCATGTTCCGGCTCTGTACAGCAGAGTGATAATAAAGTCCCTGCTCTTCCTGTTGCCTCCTTCAGCCACTGTGACAGTAACATGAAGATATTGTAGACAGCTAAGTTAATTAGGTATCTTGTAGGCAGTTAGACAGGGTGGGCCCTCAAGAAGTCAGTACAAAAGACAGTTGAGACAAATTTACTAAAGGTCAGCATTATAAAAAGAGGAAACCACTATACCCACATACCTCCCCTAGAGATGAATGGCAGTGGTTGGGATTCTAAATAGGCTTCAGTCATTTTAAGAGGGGACTAAAATCTCCCCAGTCCACTGTTAATTTGACTCCTAGGTTGGTTTTTTTTTTTTTTTTTTTTTTTTTCGGATGCTATTGTGAAAGATGTTGTTTCTCTAATTTCTCTCAGTGAGTTTATTATTCCTGTACAGGAAGGCTATTGATTTTTGAGTGTTGACTTTGTATCCAGATATGCTACTGAATTTGATTTTTAAATCTAGAAGTCTTTTTGGTGGAGCTTTTGGGGTCTTCTATGTAAAGTGTCGTGTCATCTGCAAATAATGATAATTTAACTTCTTTTCCTATCCTTATTCCTTTTATTTCTTTCTCTTGTCTAATTGCTCCGGCTAGTGTTTTGTCTGTTTAGTATGATGTTGGCTGTTGGTTTGTCATAGATGGCTTTTGTCAGATTGAAATACAGACCATCTATTCCAATTTTCTGTAGGGTTATCATGAATAGGTATTCTACCTTGTCAAATGCTTCTTCTGCATCTATTGAGAGGATCATATGGTTGTCCTTGGCTCTATTAATATACTGTATTACATTTATTGATTTGCATATGTTGAACTATCCCTGCATCCCTGGGATGAATCCTACTTGGTCATGGCATGTATATATAAAATGTACCAACAATTACTTTGCTTTAAAAAAAAAGTATTAATTTTACCACTAACCTTAAGTAAAATCTTCCTAGTCCATTTCCTTTCTGGAAACTCCTGCTTCATTCTGTGTACTCTTGCTGCATGACTGTTTTCCCATTTGATTTCCATATAATCCATATCACCTGGGTGACTGTACTCGTAATCTTCTCATGGTTTTGTCCCACCTAGCAATTTTCCACTGGATTTTATTAGTTGACTGTAGTTTTGTCCCATCTTTTACCTGCCTCACCTTGTGACTTTGCTCAATAAAACACCTTTGGGAAGCAAGTTGGTCGGGCAACCCACTTTCTGGGTGTCCCCTCCTGTCCCTCTCAGGTAGGAGCTATCTTTCCCTCAAAAAATATTCCTTAAACTCCATTGTTCCTAGAATTCATTCTTCAATTTTAGAGAGCATGAACTCAAGTTTTAGATATCTAGCAAGCAGGTTGGGAGTTCTAATATTTCCCGTGTTTATGTTATTTTGCTTATTCAGATTACTTTGTGCCCTTATCAAAGAGACACATGTACAGGGGCTTTATGTAGCTTCATGCATGCCTGTCAGGGCTACATGTGAAACCAAAGCACTGGGTGTCCACTGAGGAAAACCCTTTCTTGGGAGACACAGCCAGGCAGGGAGTTGCTCCTGGATAGCATTGGCTTCAAAGCGTGGAGGAACAGCAGAAACAATGTGCGAAAGAACTGAGTAGCACTCAGGAGGTGGAGGGTAACCAAGGTTTTATTATGCCAGCGGGCCCAGAGGAGCTCGTGACCCCAAATTCTGAGCCCTGAGTGGGGGTTACATAATTCTTTTTATACAGAAGCAGAACAAAGGCAATTATTTAAGCAGTGACAGTTTCTAACAGCACATCTGGGTGTCCTTGGTTCAGTGGAGAAACAGGCTCCCATAGAAACAGGATTAGCAAAACCATTATCCATAGGAACAGATTTGTCAGGGCAAAGAACAGCTGCCACGGGGAGGGGCAAGATTCAGGGACGGTGACCCAGAGCAGTAGTTACAGGCTTTAGAGTTTTATCTAACACTCAAGACTTAGGTTTTGTGTTAAGTTTTGCTTTTCTCATCAGTGGTAATAACATATAATACAACGTGTTGCCTGATTACAATTCAGTATTCAAATCCTCTTTCCAAGATTTGTTCTAATTAGTACAAATGTGGAAAATTTTGAAGATCTTGACTTTTCCTGTAAGAACTGTAGTAATTTAGAAAAAAAAACAATAGAAAATACATAATCTGATTCTTGAAAATCCAACCATGATACAAGGGCTGCGGGTTTAGCTCAGTGGTACTACACTAGCCTGGCAAGTGCAAGATCCTGAGTTCGATTCCTAGCACAGGAAAAAAAAATCCAAGCATGATATATCATATTTAAGTTGTTATATTGATGTTAGCATTTCTGGTGACTATCCATATATATCCCTTTCCTTGGAAATAAGGTCTTACTATGTTGCACAGGTTGGTTGTCAACTCCTAGGCCAATCAGTCCTCCTGCCTCAGCCTTCCAAATTGCTGAGATTACATGCCCAACAGGTTTATCACCTTAAGTCATCTTTAAAGGGGAAGACCGTGAACTTCATAAATATTTTCATATAGCCACAATGCCAATCTTATGGATTGAGTGATTTGAGTTTGTGGCTATGCTCTGTACTTACTTGGATTTTTGTTACTTTGATTACTTCTGAGACTATATTGACTAGACAACTGAAAATGTAAAATATGCTGATTTCCCATCAGAAAAGCTGTGTATGTTTACCATAAAAAATCATAGAAATAGAAGGAATTTTTCAAAATCCAGAACACCTTGAAAAGCAATCACTGCTTTTTCTTTAGAGTATCCCCCTTTATGATTTTAACTTTTTTATTAGTACCTTTGTCACACATAGTGATCGCATTCATCATGGGGAATTTGTACCTGTACATAATAGGAATTATCGTTAAAAATTTGGTGGGAGTGAATTTCTTTCCAGTCTCTTTTTTACATATAGTGTCTTTACCTCATTGTAATATCTTATTATAGCAATGTCAATACTATTGTCCCTATTTTTAATGCCCGAGTCATTTTATTGAATGAAATGTCATTAATTTTCCCCTCATTCGTGCATTTGTGGTGATCACAAGCAGTTTTAAATTTTTTTTCAGATTATTTTCTTAAAAATCTTAGAAATGTCAGAATAAAAAGTTTAAATATTTTCTGGGTCCTTGATACACAGTTAGATTGCAATTTAAAATTTTGTCTTTAGGGCTGGGGATTTAGCTCAGTGGTTCCGCCACCTGTCTTGCAAGCTCAGGGACCCGAGTTCGATCCCTGGTACCAAAAAAAAAAAAAAAAAGGTACATGAATAAAATTTGGTCTTTATTTGGGGATATTTTTTGTTCTTTAGGTATATTTTGGATAATCATGTCCTAACTCTGAAATGGAGATAATTTTATGAAGATGTTTCCTGTCATTAAAAATCTGGTATCTGATGCTGATGTTCAATGTTATTTTATAAAAATACATATATGTATACGACGGAAATACAAGTTAGATTAGCTTCTTCGTGTTCTGATTTTTTTGTTTTTTGAGACAGGGTCTCACTATGCAGTTTAAGCTGGCCTTGGACTATGTAGCCCAGGATACAATAAAACGTTATTCAGAACATCAACTGTGTGTTCAGAGTATGATATTGGAAACTGTGAAATACAGGACATCCTACAGAGAACAGCTTCAAGCCCCAATGATCAGACCAACATATTTGGCATCTACAGCAAACTGCAGGCTCCAGGAATTCTGGATCATGGCTAAACTGTGTGTTCAGAGTTTGATACTGGAAACTATGAAATACAGAACATCCTACAGAGAACAGCTTCAAGCTCCAATGATCAGACCAACATATTTGGCATCCACAGCAAACTGCAGGCTCCAGGAATTCTGGATCATGCCTAAAGGCCCACGAGCACTGTTTTACCAAACATTCTACTTGATGAAAGCCTGCTAATCCACTCATCTCTAATCTTATTCAAGGTAAACAATTTAAACAAAGGCAAAAACAATACTCCCATACTGCTTTTCCCCTGGACTTTAGATTTTCATTGTCCCTGGCATGGTTAATAATTGCATGATTCGTATGTAGATTCTTAATGAGAAAAGGTACAATGACTAATGGAAGTGAACTGTCTACCAAACTGTCTAATCTGGGGGGCAGGAGGTGGGAATGAGGAGCCCAGGCAGACGCGGATGTGAGTACACACACCTCTGGGAAACCTCCAGTCTGTATTTGTTTTGCTACTCCCAAAATAAAGAATGTGATATAGCCATTATTTTGGTCTCTATAGAATAAAACTAAGATCGAGAACTCAGATATAATTGTTAAAGGCAATGCTAAATTCAGACTGAAAATGGCTGGCTCATAAATCTATAATCAGAATAATTTAAAACACATTTATTCATTATAAAGCATGCAGAACTTGGAAGACTACAAAGTTGTCCTAAAATACTGAGCCAAGAAGAAAAGGAACGTTATTGCTTACACAATACTTAAATTTTTCTTAAACTGAACACAAGGCTTCAACATAGCCCATGTAAATAACCAGCTAAGCTGAAATATTCCTTTGCAAACAATGTGGGGCCTGGAAGAAACCAACTGCATCGGGTCCAGCTACTTCAGGCTCTGTTCACTAATCCTGTATATTCTAACAGACTCTAGTTTTGGATGCCACTATATCATAGGATTTACACAAAATTTATTAGTATACCAAGATGAACACACTTCAATGTGAAGTTTTAAAGTATTAGCTACCAGCAAGTCAAAACAGCTGTATATTAATTGTTCATTGAATTCTACAATGTTTTCCATAGACTTTGTCAAGAACTCACATCACCTGACTCAAGGAATTTTCAAGTTACGTCTTTTCTCAACTCCCTTGCTGGGCCATAGCTCAGACAGGAGAAATAAATAGAACTGTCACGATTTAAAAGAAAAACCGGAAAAGTAGTTTGCAAAACCAAGTCCACTTCCTTTCCCTGCCTCCCCTCTGGAACAATGCTTTTGTGGAGTGGTTCTCAAACTCTAGCAAGTGTAGCCCTGTACATACATTTAAGTCAGCCCAGATCCCAGAAGCCGATTCTGTGCCTCTGGGGAAAGGGCAGGAAGTCCCTTCTGACAAACATCCCCGGGGGTTGGGTAGGAGTACCAGGAGCACTCTGAAAATACCACTCTCAAGTTCTTCCTGGGATCATGAGAACTGCACAGACCTGTGGTCCTCATATTGTCTATGAATTGGTATCTTTACAAAGATGGCTTCAAGGGCATAACCTGTTTAGTTTACTTCCTCTCAACAGACCTGCCACCAAGGAAAACACTAGCATTTCGGGTAAAATCTACTACTGTTCAGATTCAACCATCATCGTTTTTTTTAGAGCCCAACGGTATATTTTTCATACTCAGAGGTTTCCAACACATTTTATTTTGTAGACCACTGGTGTGTGGGTTCTGAGGACCAACATCTGTATAAATTCCTATGAAAGGGCCAATCCCTGCCAGTCCTGGGGCAGCCCCTCTATGCTGCCTCCAGACTGGGGCCCGTCCAGCTGCACACATATGAATGTGCCTGCCACAGCTCTCCCTGCAGGGAGCGCGGCGGTTTCCTGTGGCACAAGGATGAGTGGGCTTGTGTGTCTCTGGTGCCTGTAAGCGGGGAGCAGCCCCAAGCTGCAGGGATGCAGACTTCTTCTATGAAGACGGTCACCGGAGGACTCTGTGCCCTTGTGCTTAGCCATGGGGCTCTCTGACTGCTTAGTAGGTTAAAATGTAAGGAAGCCTCTGTCTTTAAGTAACACAGATAACACTTTTAGATCACCTATTTGTTCTAGAACTACAAAATTTAATTCAAGAAAATATAGGTCCCATGAAAGACTTAAAAGTTTTATAAAACTAAAATCTAGTTTTCCCCAATAAATTGTACTTTTAGGCAAAACCCTCCCAATGCTTCTAAAATAATACTAAAAGGGGCATCTGATTATACAAGAGCAATTAAAAAATTAAATATTTATTTGGGTAACAAGTTTAAGTCATAGCTGCAATGTTGGCAACGCAGATTTTTAACACAGATCACAAAAAGCGTGCACAAGAAAGTACTGGCGCAAAGAGCAAAACAGTGCTAAGAATTAGGCAGAAATCACTATATAAAATATAGAATGTATTAAACACTACCAGCCACAGAAGTCTTCATTACTGATTATATTTAAAAATTATTTGCGTAGTTAATCATATATTGAATTGTAAATGAGTACTATACATGAACCCCTTATCAGAAGGCAATTCCTTGCTGCACTATAGAACATCTAGTTACATTGCAAAAAGTATTCTCTGCTATCAGTAAAGAAAACAGTTAATGATATTACTGTAAATACCAGAAAGGCTACAAAAAAAAGAAAAAGAAAGAAAATTTCTTTTTGCCTTCCAAGTGCTTTCCATGCAGTGAAGCACTTGTCTTGCTGCCCTGATCACACGAGTGGAGAATGTCCTGCTGGGTGGGAGATGCTCCTGAATTCCCAGACTCGGCTTTACAAATCAAAGACGCAAAGGCAAAGGGATCATGCAACGCTCGTACTGTGGGAGACCAGCGTGCCACTTACCAATTCCGTCTTTCCAGAACACCATCTAAGATGCTTTAAAAAAAGGCCAAACTGATATGATAAATACACACAAAATGAAAGACACAAACTGCTATGTGACATTACTCTCAGTAACGTCTGTGCTGTGGGAAAGCACCTTTAGGAAGAGCCTATGCGGCAAGAGATACATGTCTAAGATTCAAAATGAATCAACAGCATTGGATAACAATATAATCCTCAATTCAGAAGCTGCCTCGAGAGCAGGTGCATCTTCAGGCAACGTAACAGGGAAAGAAGGCCAAGGATTTCATTTTATTAATTGCATCCACTCACAAACCGACCTAAGGTCACCAGATGCGTAGACACAATGAGATTTTTGTTGTTGCTTATACTGTAGTCTTTAATTGAAGTTATGATAAAGGAAATAGATCTATTTGAAAACAAAACCAAATGGCTATCTCTGTCTAGATTAAGAGGTAGCACCGGGTGTGGGATTCACATTTTGAGTGGCCACTTGTGGTGCGACTTCGATGATCCGTGGCTTGTCTATGATTCTGGCCGTGCGGTTGCCCTTCTCGACAATCCCAATAATCCATGCTTGGTGGCCTTCACCATACTTGGGGGACTTTATCTCTGCACAGAACCGAGCTGCTTGCTCCCGTGGTAAACAGATTAGCAGGCCTCCTAGCAAAAGGAAAATAACCATTAAGTGTGGTATAAAAAACTTCTTCACAGGCTCAATGAAGAAGTCCATTCAAGTTGCTCTTCCCATTAAATTAAGAAGCCTATTCTATACCACATACCACTTAATTTCTTTGTAAACTCCTACTATATTAAAAAACAAACAATAAACTCTTAAACTGTCTAGACGACCTACTGAGAACCATTCACACTATGTAAAGTATCTGAGGCTGCAGTAACACACACAGTAGGTGCTCTTTCCAAATGAACACCCTGAAAGAAACATTTACAAGCAGAGAAATGCTGTTTCAGTTTGTTCCCCTACATGGACTGCTCACCTCACCAAGAATGTATCACTGTATTTTAAAACTCAGGAAAGTGTGCATGCATCAAAGTATCTAGGCTCTAGTCTGTCATCACCTCCAAAACAGAAAAAGGTTACAATACATGAACATGAACCATTTTGCTATTTCTAGTAGCCAAGCCAGAAAGGTTAACCTGTTCCTTTGTAAAAATAACATACTTAGGAAGAAACATACATTGTGTACTCTCCTATATAAATGTAAAAACCATACTCTGAATAAAGGAAACAAATTTAACGATGAGTAATGTTCATTAACACATTCTCCCAGTGCCCACTAGGTGGCAGTCTGTTCCATCCAGACGTCAGACCGCCAAGAAAAGCTGGGTCTCTGCCCCAGCTCCCGTGGAAGTTTCTTCCTCTCAGTTGTCAGCAGGAAGGCAAAAGGTCAGTCCTTACAGGGCCAAGGAAGGCCTGGGAGCCCTGACCTGCCAGGCACTGCTCCAGGCTGCTGTGCAGGGCTCTGCACCAGAATCTTCTGGGAAGGCCTGGCCCATCCCAGACCCAGGATACTACATTTTCTGGGGCTCAGTATGTATACTTTTTAAATCCCCAAGATGGAAAACTAGAGCTGCATAGAAAAGGGAATAGAAATAAAAGAGAAACAGAAAGAACTTCGGTAATGACTTCTCTTTCCTGCATTCTCTCCCACACCACCGCCGCATTCTTACACAAAGATGGGAACTCCCAAAGAACCCCTGAAAATCCCAATACACAGGAGGGCAGGGCTGCAGCTGCAGCCATCAGGACTGGGCTCCCCAAGTGGACACACCACACCGTGGCTGCGGCTTCCCATCAGCCTCTCTCTCCCCTTCAACCTCAGGTCCCACCGGATCCTCATACCTGACGTCTCCGGGCAGGTCCCATGCATGAGGCCGAACATGTTTCCACAGGCCTTGCTCACAGCAGCCATCTTCGCCAGCACAGGAAGATTGTGAATCACAAAGGACACCTCGTTCCTCTGCTGCTTGGCCAGGTTCTGTGCGTGGCCCAGAATCCCAAAGCCCGTGATGTCAGTGGCCGCGTGGGCGTTGAATGTGTGCATGAGTCCTGCAGCTGAGAGGGGCAGAGGGATGACAATCCAGGGCGCCTGTCCGCAGCTCCCACCCTCACACTTGCTACCAGCCGAAGCTCCGGTCAGGGAGTCGGCATGACGACAGTGTCCTCTCACAAGACCAACAGAACGGGAGCGAAATCCTGAAGCTGACTGATCTCAACTTAAACTGCTGGAACCCACCAGCAGCTTCAACCAGTCATTTCGCAGTAACCAAAACCAAAACTATACAGAGGAATTCCGATCTCAATGGAAGGAAATCTGTCAAAACCACCTTTAATCAAAGAACAGGAATGCCTGCCTTAAAATCAAGATACTCTTGCTCAAGATGAACTGTTAGAAAGTTTGATAGTTTTTAATTTAAAAAAATTAATAGACTTTACTTTTTGGAACAGTTTTGGGTTTGGAGAAAAACTGAGTCAAAGGGCAAGGAGGTCCGGGGTGCCCCCGCCACTTTGCTACGGGAATGTTTCACAGGGGCGCAGCACGCTTCTGAGCCACACTAGTACTTCAGTTCACAGGGCTCACCAGGCCGGGTGGTACAATCGCACCCAGCACTACCGCAGAGCAGCCTCACCGCTGAGGACCCTGTGCTGCCTCAGTGATATACCTCGCACCTAAGCCCTGGCACCACTGATGGGCGGTGGGGGCACTGGGACCCGAACCCACGGCCTTCACACTAAGCAGTATCCCCAGCCCTTTTTATTTTTGTGACGGGGCCTCAGTAAGTCACTAAGTTGTCCAGGCTGGCGCTGAACTTGAGATCTTCCTGTCTCAGCCTCGAGAGCTATTCTGGGCACAAGGCACCATACCCAGCTTGATCTTTTCACCGAAAGAGCTGTGCCTTTGCTGGAATGCCACAGTAGAAATCAAACAGTATGGAGCCTTTCCAGACTGGCATCTTCCACCTAACAGTGTGTATTTAAGGGTCCTCCGTGTCTTTTCATAGCTTGAGAGCTCAGTTTTTCCTACTTCTCAGTAATGTTCCTTCATCTGGACATGTCAGCTTATTTATCTGCTCACCTACTGCAGGATACATTGGTTGCTTCCAAGTTCTGGCAACTATGAATAAAAGTGCTATAAACTGTTGTGTCCATCTAGGTTTTCTGCTCCTTTGGGTAAATAGCACAACTGCTGGATCACATGGTTATAACATGTTTAGTTTTATAGAAACAGCCCCACTCTGCTGGCAAGTGGCCGTACCATTCTGCATTCCCACCAACAATGCATGAGTTCCTGCTGCTCCACATCCGGGCCGACAGGCAGCACTGGCAGGCAGCGTCCTGGGTGCTCTGCCTCCTGGTGTGCAGTGGCACCTTACTGTCTGAGTTTGCAGTTCCCTAGTATCATGTACTGCTGAGAATCTTTTTGTGCTTATCTGCCATCTGGGTATCTTCACTGTTGAGTTGTCTATTAAGGCCTTTGGCCCTTTAAAAATTGGATATTTGTAGAACTGTTGAGTTTTAAGAGTTCTTCATGTATTGTGGCTACCAGACCTTTATTAAGTGTGTTTGCAAAGATTTCTCCCAGTCCTGGCCTGTCTCACATCTCAACGGCACCTTTCACGGAGAAGTGTCATACTAGGGAGTCCAGCTTGGCCTTGCTTCCTTCCAGATAGTATGTCTGCTGTATCGCAAGTCATCTCCAAAGCCCCAGGCACACAGCCCCTCTTGTCTCTCCTCCTTTCGTCTCTAGGTCCGCATCCACTTGGTTAATTTTGATGGGACACACCAAATCTCTATCTAGACTCATGCCGTGCGTGGTCACCCACATTCCAGCACTGTCCGTTGGAAAGGCTCTTTCCCCACTGCAGGCCTCTGTCCTCTGCCCACAGCTGTGTGGGTCTATTTCTGAGTTTTCTATTCTGTTCCACTGATCTATAACGTGTTTCTTACAAATAAGAAAAAAAATGCAAGTTTTGACTTCAAAATGAAGTGTTTGAAAGTAATTTAATTATGATACAGCATATTTTCTCTCGTAGGATATTAAAAATTACCTTTACTAGGACACATCAAAATGAAATGCTAGAAGAGGGTTTGCAATGTCCCTTGGGCTGGACACCAACTCCTGGGCTCAAGCGATCCTCCTACCTCTGCCTGAGCTGTGGCTGGACTACAGGTGTGCGCCACTGCGCTGGCCCTAGAACATTTACTGTTTAATTTGTACTTTATCTTCAAGTATCTCTAAATTCCAAAACAGGAAATCCATAAATATAACGTAATTCATGATGAGAAAGAAAACTGGTGTTTTCAGCATAACTATCTAAATTTCCATTCTAAATGTTGGTTTGCTTTCAAAGCATCACACAGAGCAATCCACAAATACTTTCTAGAAACCAATCCCTGACATATCAGAGGTTAGGATTTTGAAAGACCTATGAAAAACTTTTCCTGCTTATTTATAAAATTTTTAGATGGTAAAAAAAAAAAAAAAAAATTTTTTAGATGGTGTTAACACCATAAAAAAGTAGTATACAATGTTTCAACTTACCCCAGGAAGAATGGCCATCATCAAGAAATCAAATAATAACAAACGCTGGTGAGGCTGTGGGGAAAAAGATCCCTTCTATATTGTTGGTGGGAATGTAAAATAGTGTAACCACTAGGAAATCAGGATGGAGATTCCTCAAAAAACTGAACTAGAAACTCCATCTGACCCAGCTTTCCCCTAGACATCATATTACTGTGATAAACATATGCCCATGTTTACAGAAGCACAAAGCACAATAGATAACTCTTGGAAGTGGCCTATATGTCTACCAGCAGATGAATGGAAAAAAATGTGGCATTTATACACAAGGGAGTACTATTCTGCCATAAAAAAGGATAAACTTGAGTCATTTGTAGGAAAAATGGATGCAACTTGAGACCATAATGTTAAGTGAAATAAATCAGGCACATGAGCTTAAATATCTCATGGTTTCTCTTATGTGAGAAATCCAAATATAAATAGAGTAAAATAAAAGATAAATAATTCGAAGTAGGGAGATGGGTCTTTCTCAAAGGGGAAGGGGACCCAGAGATGGAAGGAGGGGAGGGAGGGCAGAATTAAGACGTGCTAGGCACCTTACCAACCCCACACAGGCATGCAAACACGTGCTTCACACACAGGCTGATTAAAATAAGGGCCAGGGATGTAGCTCAGTGGTTCTGCTGCCTGCCTCACAAGCACAAGGTCACGAGTTTGATCCCCAGGACCAAAAAAATAAAGAAATAAAATAAAATACAACACTTAGTCCATGTGATTCCCTTGGCAAGCTTTCTTCTAATACAAGTCGCATTTAACACTGCTGAGATCATGCTCCTCCACTTATGCATTAGGTTAAGTAAGATATTCTCAACTTACAACAGGGTTAGGCAAAAAAATGCATTTTAGGCACTTTATGTAACATGGATCCCACACTGCCAGGCACACAGCAAGTGTGGAGTGCGGGCCATTCGCCTCATGACCACACGGCGGACTGGGGACTGGGAGCTGCACTCACGCCCACTGCCCCACACTGCAGGTGAGGAGGGAGTGCAGGTACTGCGTATCTCCAGCCAGGGAAAGAATATTCAAAGCCCAGTGTGGTTTCTGTCAAATGCGCATCACTTTCACACCATCATAAGGCTGAAAGATTCTCCATGGAATCATCGTGCACAGGGGAGCATCTGCATTGGATTCCCCCAAGTGACCTTGAAAGCCAGACCAGGCAGCAGGAGAGGACGGCCTGCAGCCACCACCAGACCCACCCAGGGCCTGCCTCCCGGGCCTGCCTCCCAGCCCTGCACAGTTTTCGCATCTCTGAAGAATCACAGGGGAAAAGATAGGCAAGTGTGACTGTGCGCTCAGCAAGGCCAAGGCTTCAGCTAGCGCAGCCCTTCAGTGCCCCAGGCCCCACCCGCCCTACCTGTTCTGTTGAGCCGGGCCATGTTCATCATGGCTTCCTGGTATGCCAACTCCACGTCCTCCTGGGTGACCACTAGCTTAATTTTATTCCATTTCTCAGGCTGATAACAGGAACACCAGTGGGGAGAGAGAGAAAATGTGATTAATCTTTCCTTCTCACCATCGATTTTCTTAGTCATCTTCTGGGGATTTTCTCTTTGCTGGGGAGTCAAACCCAAGCTCGTACACAAGCTCGGCCCATGCTCTACCAGAGCCGCATCCCGCACTCCTGGGGAGTTTCACACATCTAACTTTGTACATTAAATGCTCCACCTCTTCCTGAAATTAAGTGTCCACCAAGCCTACCATCACGTTCTTTTCTACCTCATCCCATGTTCCCATAATCAAGTATCGGAGCACACTGGCTGTGCAGGGCCAGCAGACAGCACAGGCGACAACGGGCTGCAGTCTGCTCCCTCTGGCAGGCGCAAGTCATACTATTATTACTGTTCAGTGTCTCTGGTTCCCCTACTAAGCTGGCTCCTATTTTTCACAGTATAGTAATTTTATTGACTTTAACTGAATGCTGGAATGAAACTATCTCGATGAACACAGGGATATAAAAACAACTGCAATTGTGTGCGTGGTGAAGACAACATTCGGTGACCAAAAAAGACATCATAAAAAGATGTCTGTCTCCCGCAGTCTGATCTTCAGAGAACCAGGCACCCAGACACTGACTGGGCTCCCGGCACACTCCGGCTTCTTGCAGAAGGGACTATTCTCAGTTCTATGCTTTTCCCCTGTTTTCTAAAATAATATTCTCTTTTCTCTGACCTTTATAAAGAAGCATGCTGTGCTGTTCCAGTCTTTGGAACTTGCCTTTTGAAGTCTGAGACTTTTTAAAAACTGGTTTAAAACACAGCAGAGGCGTTGAGAAGCTGAGGCAGAGACAGAACCCCCCCAGCGCAGATCTCCACCACCATCAGCCTTGCCTGCCACCAGCCCCTTGCTAGACCCTGCAGCCTCACTGCTGTACTGCACGGCACCCTGGGCTCCTGACCTGGGCTGCCTTGCTGCCTAAGGAGGGAAAAAGAAAGGCGGAATGCGGCAGCCTAAGAGTGTCTTCATCCCCCACGTCAGCTAAAGTACACCTGGCTGATGAACGACATGAAATTATTCACTACTGTCTCAAGTGCTTCTTGGGGTCAGCAGCTCTGGATGGCAGTTTTAGAAATTCCACGCACCATGATCTTATCGTTTTGTGCATTGCTGTGATGGTGAAAACATCCTAAGAATGATTACAGCTCAGTGGGAAAATGTTCAGAGAAATGTCCTGCTGTTCTAGACACCGTCTCCTGGGGAGAACGGTATATTAAAATCTTAGTTACTCAACAGTTTAGGAAGACAAAATTACCAAGCAGGAACAACCCGCGCCTCCATTACTAAATACCCTGGCAATAACTGACCTTCCTTCCTTCCTTCCATCGGTCTCCGTCCATACTGTTACCCCATGGTGCTGGGGACAAGCGCTCTCCCGCTGAGCTCCACCCAGCCCTGCAGGATGGCCTCAGACGTGAAGGATGAAGCTACCCCAGCTCGACAAAATAAACACATGAAGCTAACCCCGGCGACCCCTCTTTATGGAAAATCTCCAAGCCCACACTGGGTTTTCTACTTCAGGCGTCCAATACTTGGACCTCTCATGTGGACCCACCTAGGACTTCCTTAAGGACATGACTGACTCAGCTCCCCAGCAGTGAAACGAAAGGGTCTCCTTCTCTAAACCCTCTGACAAGATCCACCAGGCTCTGAGAACTTGTTCGGTGCCCACCACTCCTCCCTTGCCGCCGCCGCAGTGGTTTACTTACAATATCCAGCCACTGGTGCACAGCCACGGCCACCTGCGTCCCCAGGGGCTTTGTCAGCACAAGTACGTCTCCGGGGACTGCGTTGTCTGGCCTGGAGAAAGGGAAAAGAGCGAGTTCTAGTCAAACTCACCAAGGATAACTCTAGTATTAAACAAGAGAAGGAAAATCCTGCAAAACATATTCGCTTTTGGACTTCTTAAACTTAAGCCAACTACCACCATGTATGGGACAGAGCATCACTTTCTGCTTCTGAGGCACTGGTAGAACAAAATACTAAAGGGAAAAAGAAAGCATCCACAGGCTGAGGGTATGGATCACTTAGCGACCGAGCAGAAAAAGTGTACAAAGTAGCAAATCACTTAGTCTTCCAAGGTTTCAACAGACCACTTTTCCTTCATAATTTACAGTCCTTCCAGAGTTCAAAGCTCTGGAGACAACTTTTCAAAGACTGCTTGACTATGGTCACTTAAGTAGTGGAGATTTAGGTGAGACTGTCTAGGTTTTGGGATTTGGCTAGAATCGGAGTCTCGTGTTTTGGTAATTTCCACACCTAGGTTCTCAAACTCACAGCCCAGTCAGTAGTAAGTACCTGGATGCCCTGGTGGCCCTTGTCGTAAAGCCAGAACATGCTGGAAAGGTGCCCAGGATGCCACCCACACAGAGAGGGGCTGGCACACTTGCATCACCACCACCAGGCTGGGGTCCACCCCTTGGCTTTCTCGGGCCTTGTGCCCCTGTCCCCATGCCGCCCTGGCTCCTCACTCTCTCGGCTGGGCTAAGGCAGGGCAAGCGGGGCAGGCTGCAGAACGAACCCCTCAGGCCCTCGTAGCATCTGAACCCCATCAGCTCTGAGCACTGTAACTCTGTCACACCGTACAGGACACTCACGTCCCCAAAACCAGATCTTCAGAGAGAAATGCATTTCCACCGTGCCTCAGGCACACCAGAAAGCTGGTAGGTTCTTCCACTTCACTGCTTATGTGCAACCTATGAATTTATATTACCCGTGACAATGCTGTGGGGTTATTTCTAAGTTTATGGGCAAACCTGACGGAATGTAACCATGTGTACACAGGCTCATTCACTGAATGTGTATGTTGTTGGCAAAACAATCAACTGAAACTTGTCCTGCCACCACCCCCACTTTTTTGTTTGTTGACACAGGGTCATGCTGCGTAGTTCCGACTGGTCTTGAACTCACTGTGTAACCCAGGCTGGCCCAGAACTTATGAAGATCCTCCTCCCTCGCCCTCCCAAGCCCTGGAATTATAATTGTGTGCCACCACACCCGGTTACTCAGTTCTTTTTCTAATAGAAGGATGGAGTGGGTGAGACAGATACACTTCAGAATCTAGGTGAAAAGTGTGAGGAACTACCAAGGTACACTGCCTGTTGGGAAAATGAAACCTTAATGCAAGAAAAATGCAGGACCCTTACCAGGGAAGCGCCCAGATACCGGGCCTAACAGGAGCTTCCACCAGTTAAAACACGAATGCAAGTACGTTGCACTCTGCTCTAAGAATAAGGTTAAAATCACCAAGCAAATGGGCAAACACCAAGACATCTGGCGCCTGCTGTGCTCAGCAGGCGGCAAGGCACACACAGGCAAAGCCAATGCAGGGCACGCCGCAGGCAGCCCTCAAGGTTAGCACACACACCGTGTGACCGGAGCTCACTGAGACTCCGGCAGTAGATTAAATGGAAAACGGCAGACGCTTCTGCGTGGTTACTTCACCGGCGTGTCTCTACAAGGCCCCAGTACAGGCACATACGTATATACAGTGTACACGCTGTGAACACCAGCAGCAGAGTGGCCGCAGAGAAAGCACCCCTGGGAGACCGGGTGCCCAGGCACAGGGAGACCTCCAGTCCCGCAGACCCTCCATGCCTCCAGAGCTCTCCCCAGGTGAACATAACGCAACACAGAGTGAAGTTCTGCTACTTCAGAAAACAGGACGGAGGGGCTTTTCTTAAGACATAAACATGCAAAGCAACAACTTGTGTTGCGCTATGACAGAGATGGCCAAAGAGCCTAGGGAAAGGCAGCTGCTCAACATCATCAGTCGCCTAGGAAATGCAAAGCAAAAGCACGATTTATACCCACTAATCAGGACGCTGTAAGCAAAACTTCACAATACAACAACTCTGGACAGAATGTGGAGAAACTCAGAGTGCACCGAGCATTCACAGCAGCATTATTCATCGAGGACAGCAGTGGCAAACCTACGGCACACGTGCTGCAGCCAGCTGTCTGCTATCACGGAAAGCTCCTAGAGGTTCGCCATCACTCATCCAGAAGCAATTACAACCCAACGGTCCAACAGAGAAGGCGCAGTATATCTAACAACGGTTTACTCAGCTATGAAAAAGGAGGCAGTACAGATTTATATGAAACATGCTATGTGAACAAAGCCAGATACAAACTGTCATGTTTGCATACAGTGTCTGGAACAGCTAAATCCCCACCAACAAAAAGTAGATTAGTGGTTGCCAGAGAATGAGGGAAGGAGGGAAATGGAAAGGATCGACAATGCACACAGCTCTTCCGAGGTGAGGGAACACCCCGGGATTGGACAGCGATGGGTACACACAAAATCAATGACCTAGTTAGTTTAAAATGATAGATTAGGTGTCGTGGGACATTTTGTTACAAATTGTACATTAATTTTAAAAATTCACGCATTTTCAAGAATAGGATCAAAGTAATGATTCACACTAAGAAGTGAATGGACCTTAAAGCTCTGAATGCTCTAAAACCAACTATGGTGACAGTTTACTCTGAATGTGCCAGAGCCCACTGAATCACACACTGTAAACGGGTGAAGTATATAGTGTATGAATGATACCCAGCTTCAATGTGTTATCTTTTTAAAGAAAGAAAATGCAAAAAGAGAAAAACATCAGGTGACATGAAACAAAAATCAACTTACATGATGAATTCATTGGGCTGGCAGACAGTTGTGGCAACTCCACCCAGGACAATCCAGGGGTTTAACACAGTCTGGCCACCTGTTACAGATGTTCCCGCTTCCTCTGCAGCGTCTTTAAAACCCTGTATAATCAGGGGCATCACTTTATCCCTTTCCTGGGGTTTAAAAGGACAAAACGAAAAGTTAAGTCATTCTGTGTAAAGCCCTGAAAATAGAGTTCTACATCTGTAGTTATAAAAAGGATCCAAAATCCTAGAGAAAGCTAACAGGTCAAAAACCATGCAGTATTTCACACTGCAACCACTCATCAAATGCTCCAAGATGTTCTTGGTTACTAGGAAAACAAACCCGAGACACGAGAGAAGTACGGACCACACATGACTTGGTCCACAGGACTGGCCCTATGTCTGATGACCATTAGAAGCCAGCTGTTTCCTGTCACCAAGAACACCAAGACTACCTAACAACGCATGTACACCTCCTTCAGGGAGGCTGACATGTGACCAAGGAGTGCGAAGACTGCTGATGCCTATGATGGTAATTCTCGTCCCCACGTCCTCCCTGAGACCACTGGGAAAACTGACCAAAGCTCACACTGCTAGGGCAGAAGGCCTACTGAAAACTGATTTCTGTAAGCTGGAGATGGACAGGGAATAAAAACAAGGACCATACCTGTCAAATAAAAGCAAAGTAGGAATTCATTCCTAGTTCACACAGGTTGCCAGGCAACAACACAGAAGTGTGGGGCCGACATACCGTAGCCCTGGACCTCTGATCCACAGCCCTGGCACTGTTACTGTGGATGTAATTATACATTATGCTTGCATACTTACTTCTGTTCATAATAATCACACATTATTGAAACACACAAAAGTATCTACTTGTAGGTTTTGGTCTACCTAGAAGAGAAGCAGGGAGCAGTGGTAGAAACAAAAGGATGAAGGGGCCAGATGTTCTCATTTTAATTTACTGACAGTTGCCCAAAAGTGGAAAGCTAGCAGGGGTGCCAGGGCCACGTGGCCTGGGCTCCTTGAGTTCCTGACGGGCACAAGTCAAGCGTGAAGAGATGGAGACCCTACTTACCCTGTCGGTCATTTTGTTACTGACTCCAAGGAGCATCAGCATATTGTCACATTCTGTGACCCCCATTGCATACAGGTCACTGAGGACATTGGCACACGCTATCCTGCCCTGGGAAGAGAGGGGAGAGGTAAGAAAGGATGGCCTGGGACTTTCCATCTGCACAACAAAGACCAGGCCTGCAAGCAGCCTGCAAGGAGAACTAGGGACTTTCCAGGAGGGCAGCTGCAGGACGGGTCCTCAGCTTTCACATCTGCAGGCTGGTTGCCTCCCTCTCACAGAAACACTGGGCCATTCGCTGTCCCAGACACTCCTGTTACATGGCTTTCCTTCCCACTTTGAGTATTACAAGCCTGATTCAATTGGACTGGGCGGGGGCGGTGTCAAGAAGACAAGCAAGGTTAGAACTGAGAGTCTCAGAGAAAAAGCCAGAGTCGGACAACACTGCGCCTAGAGCAAACTTGGAAACAGCCGCTGATCCTCAACAGTCTACAAAAATGCCGACTTTACTGGTCAGGGCAAAAGAGATACTTCTCATGCACTGAAGATGGAGAGAGTTTTCTAGCTCCTTTTCAAGGCTGTCATGAAACAGGAAAATCATCTTGTTTGAAAAAAATAAATATGTAGGCATAAAGTCAGACTTTTCTAAAGAAAAAGGCATTTTCTAGTCAATTACATAATTTTAAACTTAAAACTCAAATATTATCCAAGAAAGATCCTCCTCAATCGGGAAATGGGTTAAGTGATGAAGGGAGGGAAGGCAAGGGATGAAAACTGAATTTAGATGTGTTGTGTATGTGGACCAGCGCCACACAGGAATGCAAACATCATCCACTGCAAACAAAGGCTAATCAAAAAGTAAACATAAAAAATGATTTAAAATACCTAAGATAAAAAATAACAGTATTCAATAAAACTTAAAATAGTATTCAAAAGAAATATGGCAATAAACATTTTTTATTGTCACAGGTGACCTTTTTGTTTGTTGAGACAGGGTCTCCCTCTGTAGTTCAAGTGGCCCTGAACTCACTGTGTAGTCCAGGCTGGCCTTGAACTTGCAGCAATCCTCCTGCCTCAGCCTCCCAAGTGCTGGGATTACAGGCATGCACCACCACACCCGGCTCACACAGGAGACATTTTGAAGAAAAAGAAGATGTCACTGTCTCGTTATATATATATATGTATTTTTCTCTTTTTTTTTTTGGTACCGGGGATCGAACTCGGGTTCTTCCGCTTGCGAGGCAGGCGGCAGAACCACCGAGCTAAATCCCCGGCCCACGTTATATATTTTTTATAGACAAGTTTTTCTTCACACATAGGCTAATCAAGCTGCGAAGGGGCACTATCATTTCCAGTGGCTGTTTAACTGCTTGTCTTACGTTTCTTATGCACTCCTGGTAGACCCACAGGCTTCTCCAGACACACCGTCAGCATCTCCAAGGCTAACAGGTGCTATGTAACTGGGAGATGCCAACCACTGGTCAGGGTGGCAGGAATGTACTGGGTGCTCTCAAATGCAATGAAGGGTACCAGGAAGAAGAGGGACTGTGGCCTTACCCCTCTGGCGTCAGACCAAGTGGGACACTGGGCTGGCCCCCGCTGCCTTGTCTCTCTAGAGGAGGAACAGAGGGAACTGTCTCCTAATGACCTGTTCACTTGCTACTGGCACTGAGAGGGGAACACCCCCTCTTTTGCAGCCCCATGACCTAAGTCCCTATGTGTGCAGCACGGCCCCCTGTCCTCACGTAAGGAAAGACCTCTGCCATTTTATAAGGAGTGGGATATTCCCGTCTCCTCACTGACTCCTCTTGCTGGCAAGTAGGTTGGAAGTAGGGCCAAAGGCAGGGTAGATTCAAGGGTTGGAGGCTGAAAGCATGCAGTGACCAGCTGGGAAACAAATCACGAAGCAGTGCACACAATCGGAAGCTAGGAACCAACTCAGTGCTCAGACACACACCACACACGGTGGCTTCCAGGACAGTGATGAGCACAGACGGCCGGGTGGGCAGTGACCAGTGTATTCTAACATATGTCAGAGTAAACGGTCTTGAAGTCCAACTGTGAGGAGACACTAGCTTCCTTCATTCCTTCAAGGAAACACTTAGGATTGCTCCTATTAGAGTACAGAAAGATCTCTGGCCTGAAGTAGGAGTGGTGAAGTTTACAAATGCTAAAGAAAGGTACAAGGAAAGAAAGAAAACATCATCAGCCCAACAGCCCTCTGCTACAGCAGCAGGTGTTCTCATACACAAGTGGACACTCAGGTACAAAGGCAGCAGAGCGACGTCCCTGTTCCTCTTGCTCTTCACAGGCCAGGGGTGCACAGTGGGCCACCTCAAACGGCTGGGACTACGGGAGCGCCTGCATAACGTAATTTGGATACAGCAAAAACAAAAACCAAAAGGGCATGGGCATATACAAGCCTTTGCCACGACTCAAAACCAAATGTACAAGCAGTTCAAGTCATAAACACATTGGGTCCAACTTACCATCATGTAAGGGTCGTCTACAATAGGATAAATGTAATCCGTGGTTTGAACCAAGGAAAGACCACCGTGCCTCAAAGGAATGACGCAAGTATCCATTCCAATGCCTGGGAAGATGGAAGCCATCAGGATCCAAAAATAACAGAGGAAAGCTGTCTTACTTTATAAAACCAACGTTCTGCAAAGGAGCCCTTCTGTCTAAGTCACTGACGGAAACGCCACACTGCCAATGAAGCCAAGTGTTTTCTATCAAGAAGCATAACTGAAATATACGTGAAGCATAACTAGTGTAACATAGGAAATATGAACAAAAATGTGTTAGTCATCAAGACTTCAATATGGTGCAATTCTTAAACCTTGAGGCTGTGGATACATTTTTTCCCATATTTTTTGCATTATTTTACTGTCTTACTGTATCATGTGATTGGTACCATACAGAATTTATCTAAAGATGAGAACAGTATATTATTAATAAAATCCATGTTATTTAATCAAGTTAGCTTGAGCACATCTTTATTACTCTACTTTCCCAATATAATATTTGCACTGTGTTTTACACATAGAACATGCTACTGTTACTTTTGCATTTCAGTCAAAAATGAAAAGGACAAAGCCAGAACAGGAATTCAAAACTTCCCATCAAGCATGTGAACACCCCAGCACCTATGTGATCCATTTGTTTTATAGATTCCTGAAGCACTTTTTAAGGGGAAATCTTAAAACTTGATGTTACTTGCTTAGTGAAAAACATAAACAACACCTTTACTAAGCTGTAATATGGGGCTGATGCCTGCAATCCCAGCACTCCAGAGCCTGAGGCAGGAGGATCACCATGAGTTGAGACCAATCTGGGCTACACAGTAAGTTCAAGGCCAGTCTGAATAATACAGCAAGGCCGTGTCTCAAAACACAAACAAAAATCCCCACTAAGTTAAGGACAAAGAGGGTCTGGCCCTAACTTTATCTTCTGTTCATTAAAAAGGAAATTGCTTAGCAAGACTGTAAGAAATATTTTAATTTACTAACAATTGTTCCTAAAGGTAGAGAAAGACAGTGTAAGCCACTGAGAGGCTAACGGAGATTTCCACCAGCTGTGGCGGCGCATGCCTGTAATACCATCATTCTGGAAGGCTGGGGTAGGAGGGTCACGAGTTTAAGCCCAACCTGAACAACTCAGGAGATCCTGTCTCAAAGCACACTCTCATGCACCCACACCCACATCCACACACAAGGCTAGGGAGGCAGCTCAGTGAAAGCCTAGGCTCAGTCCCCAGTATGGGGGTGAGGGTGAGGGGTTTCCTCTTTCTGAAATGGCTTTGATGTCAAGACTAACTGCAGTAGGCTATTTCCTTGAAAATCACCTGTGATACAGATTCCACCTGGCGTTTCCAAGTAAGCTGAACATGCCCTGCTACCCTGCACAACAGCCAGAGGCAGGATAAAGGAAACATCAGGATGAAGTCAGAAGGAAGCAAGTGGACTCTACCTTGTAAATTCGGGGTTAAGGACCTTTCACACTTTGTAGATGCAAAACTGCCAGGAACCACCAGCTCCCACTGTAACAGCAACAGCCCTCAACAGTGGCTGGTCACTGTGGCCCTTTACGTCCTGGTGTTGTTCCACTGCTACTAACGCAAAAAGAAAATCAAGCTTAATAATAAGCCAGACTGCAAAGACAGGCTGATTTTTTAAAAAAACTTAACATAGCAGAAACTTTTTTTGGAGGTACAATGGACCCCTGACTTATGAACTCAAATCGTTCCTAAGGGCTGGTTGTAACTCAAGTTGGTCAATTGCCTTCAAAGTCTCTCCTGTATAATTTTAGGCCACACTTTCAGGCAGATCTCAGTGTCCTTAGACACTGGCCCAGGACTTCTCAGTTAACCCCACACAGGAGAGGATGCTGTCATATTCCTTCCAGAACTCTTTAAGGGTTAAATCTGTATCTCAACCAACTGGAAGCGTAAGTGGCCAGCATCCGGGCTGCAACTCAAGACTCTGGTCATAAGTTAAAACTAAAATTCCAGTCATAATCCAAGTTTGTATGCCAAGTTGGTTGTAACTCGAGGGTCCACTGTACAGGGGATTGAACCCAGGGCCTCACACTAAGCTACATCTTCAGCCTTTTTAAAAATTTTTGACAGTGTCTTGCTAAACCACTAAGCTGCTCAGGCTGAGCTCCAACTTGGCCCTTCTGCCTCCGCCTCCAGAGTGCTGGGATTACAGGCGTGTGCACCATGCCTGGCTCAAGGCAGGAACATTCACAAGATCCAGCTAAGGAACAGAATTCAGTTTCACAGTGGCAAGTCTCACAAACTGGAGACAACGTGACACACTTGGCTCATGCGCTTTCATCTGTAGGACAAATGTGTTAACTCATCTCACAAGTTTTACCCAACAGTGCTCTTTACACCTAAGTATCCACGGGCAAGAAACACACTTCAGCTCCAGTCTCCCTAGGGTTACAACTCTGCATCTGGCCATTCTGAGTGTCTGGTACTACTCATTCTGGAAACAGTGAGACCTGTATTTTCTTTTGGGTTTCTACTTAAAACTACAGGACTGTGGAAAGAGATCCTAAATAGTTCTTATGCTTCTGATTTAGTTCTAAATGCTTCTGATTTGGATTCTCCTGAATTTGAGCAAAATTGTATTGGCTCTGTAAAATTTTACTCCTATACCCAGCCATTATGTACACGCTACCCTTCCCAGCGGGGATGGGTCCTCCACCAGAGTAAAGACTGGTGCTGCCCCCATGGGAGCGCCTGCCAAGCACCTGAAATGAGCCAAGCCAGACTGCAAAGTGCAATTACAGTGTGCGTGTGCATGTGCGTGTGCGGCAGGAGGGTGGCCCCATCCCAACCAAAACAGCTCTGCTTTATGTGCTGGGGAGGAAAGGAATTCCTCCTGCTCAGAACCAAGAGGCACCAGACTTTATACAGTACCAAGAGCCAACATCACAGTAATGTTTTATGTATGTTGAAAAGAATTTTTTTACACACTGGGTTAAATAAAATATATAGAGTCAATTTCACCTGATTCTGTTATCTTTAAATGTGACCACTAGAAAATAATTTAAAGTCATGTGACTTGAAAAATGTTTCCTTTGATCAGCACTGGTTTATAGTGACTGGTTTAAAAATGACCTCTCAAATTTTAAGCAAGAAGGGCAAGCCTGAGATGGGCCATGGCCACCAAAAAACTAGGGTTTCACACTGGAGGAAGGACAGTCCAGGTAGTGGGCAAGTGGGAACAAATCAAAAATCCTATGGGGGTCTTAAACACCAATCTGAGAGTTTTATGTCAGAATTATCAGCAGGCAACAGGGAATTCTACGATTTTAGCACAACTGAAACCCTCCATCGAGAAAAACCACCAACTCCTCGTCGGTACTGCCACTCCCAGTGATCCGCAATGGTCAGGTCCCAGGGAGCACACAGCAGGCATTCTAGTTCCTAAGACACAGCTGTGCTAGCACCTCTTTAGTTAGAGACATCAGCAAGGGTGTATTTCAAAAGCTGTTCTGGTTCATGCTTCAATTGGTACCATCGTAGAATTCAGGAAATAAGATATTCAATTAGAAAAAAACTAGAAACAGATAAGCATACACATGTGTTCATATACACACATCTTACCAATGTGGGTAGATACACGGGATATGCACACTGCCCCATTTTACAGACTGGGAATCTGGGGTTTCTAACACGCACCCAGTACATTAACAACGGGTATGTGGCTGGCAGGTCAGGAGTATGGCCCGGACTGCACAATGCTGCAGCTTTCCAACTCCGCAGCTCTCTCACACCCATCTGCTGGGCACCTGGGGTCAGCGTGCCCCTAGGAACTGCATTGCATGAGTGCAAATCTGGGATGTGTTTTTTCTGGGAAAGCTTAGAGTTCCATCTACTTCTGCAAAGCCCAATGAGAACAAGCGAGTGGCCTCTGTGTTCTTCTATCTGCTTCTCCCTGCCTTGTCCCTGGCTGTTAGACAGGGGTCCCTTCTGCCACTGCTGGGTTAAGGCCAGAGCAGCTCTTCTTCCCAAGTCCAACGCATGTGAACTGAGAAACCAAAAGGCTGGCAGCGTGGGAGTGGAAGGAGCAGGGGAAGATGTGGACTCCAGATCCCAACCTCAACTCCATTCCACAGAACGGGGCCCGAGGGCTGCTGGAAGGAGCAGCAACCCCACAGCTTCACAGCATGCAGGGTGCGGGCAGGCCCAAGTGCTCAATAGGACCAACCGAGGAAGCTCTGCACAGGAACCACTGCTTTATATTCATTTCCTTTGGTTTTGACAATTAAGTGGCTCATTTCTCCTCATGCCATTTTCTAAGAGGTCCCCCAGTATATTCTCTTTTCTTGGTGAGTCAAATCCAACCTGTTCTCATTGATATTTCTCCACCACTTAGCCATTAGCTAGAGGAGAGGAACTGTTTCCAAACCGAGCTCCTGGGAGTCCGGCAGGCCATGGAGCACGTGTGTGTGTGTTTGTGTCTGCAGCAGGAGGGGTTCCCTCTGCCCCAACCAAAACAACTCTGCTTTATGTACTGGAAAAGAAAGGAATACCTCAGGCTCAGAACCAATGTGGTAAGACAGGACTTTACAACAAAATAGTGGGCAAAAATAAATGAAATCAAAGCCATGTTTAAGGGCCGGGATTTAGCTCAGTGCCATCAAGCCTGCCTTGCAAGTGCAAGGTCCCGAGTTCGATCCCCAGTACCAAAAAAAAAAAAGAAAAAAGAAAGCTGATCAAGGGCTGGGGTGTAGCTCGGTGGCACCACGCTTGTCTCCTGCCTGGCAAGTGCAAGGTCCTGCGTTCGATTCCCCGTACCAAAAAAAAAAAAAAAGCAAGCTGATCAAGTCACCCAGTAACTACAGCACAGCCACCACACCCACAGCACGTGCATCAAACACCAGAAAGCAAAGTGATCAGGGCCCTGCATTACATACTGAGTAACGTCCACACAAGCACCACTCAACATCCCAGGGCCTAGAAGCTCTTTCTGAGCTTGCGTTTGGAAAAACAGGAAACCACTAACACCACCAGGAGTTCAGTAAAGCGAAACAGGGGCAACCTGGGGCCAGCAGTCGTCCAGGGTCATCTGCAGTCCTTCAGCCCACTTCAGCTTTCGGCTCAGGCACACTGTGCAGGGCGCCCGCAGGCACTACACGCAACACACTAAAAGGCACAGCACTTCAGCGGTCACTTGGGAAAAGGCATACATAAAGGGGTTTCTGCTTAATCCTCAGCTAACCAGAAAATTCGATTTGAGTTTTAAAAAGAAGTCTTTTACTTTTACTGTACTATAATGATGCCAGTTGCACATTCCCCCTTAGAAACTATACAGTACGCGTCTCCATGCTTTTCAAGTACTTCCTGTAAATAAGTTACAATAGCATCACGCAGTTATTACCACTGCATTGCTCCTTGAATGTTTCCTACAGAATTTTAAAAATAAAAGCGACACGGGGAGAGAAGTCTGGGTTCTGACCCCCTGAGCGGACTGCAGAGGCCCAGGGAACAACGGTTCACGTACCAAGTCTCGGCATGACGGCGCCCAGAAACCGCTCATCCTCTTGGAAGTGGTTCTCCTGTAGGGGCTCCAGCAGCTTCTGCAGCACATCCTGGGGCACTTTGCAGCCTGTGCCCTTCAGCTCAGTGAATCGGGTTAGCCGGAAGCTTTTGTCCAATTCACAGCTCTCCGGGTTAAAGGACTCCCGCGTAGACATGGTTCTGGGGCCCGCACGCCTGCACGCCGCGCAATTCAGCCCCTCCCTCCCTGTCTCACCGTCAGCTGGGCTCTCTACTTCCGATCCACCTGGGCATCACCAAAACACAAAGACACCGTTAAAAGAATTCGGACCAGTATTTGCCAAGGATCAGTGAACGCGTGGCGGGAGAAAGTACACAGATCAAGGGGTGAAGTCACCAAGACCACAAGGAAACAGCATTTTGGGGGCACGATACCTGGTCCATCACAGTGATGCGCAAGCCTGGGTAAAGTCACTGTAAACAGATTATTCCATCACACATGCCTAGGGCAGACCTGACATCTGCGGTAGGCTTTGCTCATGGCCGTGGCACTGGGCAGTGGTCCCAGGCGTTCCTCCAGGGTGCGTCCTGTAAGAGTCGCTCTGCTGGCCACCTCCTTGTCACCCTGGAAGCACTTGCGGTTTGGAAAGTGGAGTTCTTGGCCAAAGTAATTTCTCTGTAAAATCTTTTCATGTGTTTTGCTATCTCACACAGAAAAATAAAAGCCTGATACAAATTGCAGGAAAATGACATGTACGCAAATGCATTTGACAAAATTCCTTAGAGTGCTAAATCCTAATTTTAGATAAAGCCATCTCTCTCTGAGCCAGAAGTATAGAACACAATCCCAAACTCACAGGAGGCTGTGCCGAAGGGCATAACATGAAAATCGTGAATGGCTGTTTAACACCTTAAGGGCTGTACTCTTCAGGGGAGCACTTGAAAAGTTCTCTGATGTTTTAATGCAGTGCTATTTCCTAGAAAGCAGACATCCAGCCCAACAAATCAGTGCACACATCACTGACAAAATACGCTGCTGCTCATTACCATTTCACTGCAGAGCTAAAACAAATTAAACCCCGCACCACACCAGCGCTTTTGGTACTGGGTACCGCTGTAAGTTTCCAGAACTTCCGGCTGAAAGCAGAAACCATGCGCTGCTGAGATTTACAAACCTCCAGATCGATACTTTACTGGGCACAGAACAAGACACCCCGAGTTTTAGGGTCAGTTTCCCCTATAAAGTTTATGATTAAGAACATAATTCGCATTTATAGAGCTTTTCATCCCCAGGGAAGGACATCACTCATTTAAAATAAATTTTACAATGCCCCAGTTTGGGCAGTAATCCAAACCGTCGTTAACAAAAACAGTTTTGGGGTGAGCAAGGATTTCAGGGGAAAACCTGCAACTGTACAGCACAGGCACAAACCTTCCAAAACCATTTCAAGAAACCAATCTGCCTGAGAAAGGGCAGGCAAGCGAGCCAAGCAAGTTACAGATGGGAATTCTGAAGCCATTTTAGTTTGGGGAAAGTCGGTATCAGCACTTCGACAAGGAAGGGTTTGGATGGAAACCAATGAGGTCCTTTCCTCGCAAGACGCCTCCTCAGCCCTACGGGGAAGTCCGGCTCCCGAGGCACCGCTATTTCCCGGCCGACTTCCTCTAGAATTGTCACCCTCCGGACTCGCGTAGGGAGAAAGCGCAGGAGAAGGCGCCGGTCCCGCCCGGCTCCGGGTGAGGGGGTTTCGGGCCACCCGGCTCCGGGGCACCCTCGAAGCACGGTGAACTCACACTCCGGAGGCGCGGCCGGGCGGGCGCAGGAATGAATGGGGCGAGAGCCGCGCTCGCGGGCGGGTGGCGCCGCGTGTTTGCGCCTCTCACACAATGCCGTTGCCGCGAGCCCAGGCTCGGCTTAACCCTGTGCGCCCACAGCCCCGGCCGCGCTCCGGGGCCCAGCCGCCTTTGCCCAGGCCCGGCGCGCGGGCCGCCCCTTTGTGCCGCGCGGGCCATGCCGAGCCGCGGAAGGG